TGTCGCCGTCGACTCCGGGGGAATGCAGTGCCGGATATCGCAGCCGACGTTCGGGTTATCGTCGCGGCATACATATAACACGTCAAATAATATGAGTATGTTCCACGGTAACGAGTTACGGGTACAGTGAAAACGGAGAGTAACAAGCCTTCCGACAGAACGACGTAGGCAACCCGGTCGTTTGATTGAGCGTACTAGACAAGACGAGTACCTTGGGATCGAGTAAAAATTAAAATGATAATAGTACCGAAAAAAAACAATTCTGCGGGCACACTGTAAAATAAACTTCCCGTTCATGTGCGGGATGGTCGGTCGAATTACGTCTCTCTCTCACCGTTTTTTATGATGCGCACGGCCGAGGCCGAGGCACAACTAATATCAACTGCACGCGAATCTATCCGGTACACTTCGCGTATCAGCACGCAAAACCGACCGTGTCGAGTCTATTCGAAAACAGAATAACCTAAATACATACGCGCATAGTTAAAATATAATAATAGTACTATATATATACAATACGATCATCCCAGTTTTTATAGTCGAGGACTAGTGTAGTCTACAGGGGGAATACTCCTACCCTACCCTACTACCTATTATGTAATGGAGAATGCGAAAAAAAAAACAAGCGAAGAAAAATTCCTTATCGACCTGTCAAACGCATAGCAGCTGATTCCTACAATACTCGTATGAAAAATGCCGAAATGCAAATTCGCGATGATTTAATCGCAGTACCTATATAATATACTATTTATAACAAGCATATATACTTAATATTTTGTATTTAATATGGTTTTGCTCGGTCAGGATTCAGGGCGATGCGCGACGGCGGCACAGGTCAATTACACCTGGACAACAACAACAATTTTCCCGTCAAGGTTACCAACATTTCGACACCTCCCCCGCTACGCCTGGACTAGTGCACTGACTCTACACTGCAACATACTCTCGGATATAGTATAGTAGCCGCATTACATTATTCTTATATATATATAATGTATTTCGAGCGGGGGACTGGGACGAACACAAACACACACGGAACGTCTTCGGCCGGGTCTATGGGTCTTTGTACGATGAACCAGTTTTCCCCTGTACTCGCTGTGACGCCGCCTCGCCCAACACGCGGCAACCGCTGCTTCCTCTGAGCATATTTTTACACATACACAAACAAACGACTACAGCCGGTGAAGACGTTTTGGGATTGTTTTTATACGATAACAATAGACCGTCGTTGTGTCGTGTTTTCCGCCGGCCACATCATTAAGTCATCGAGAAATTTAATTTTACAACACGGACACATCTATCCACACTACTAGTGAACGACAAACAAATATAATCAATAATCTACCGTTGTCGTAGTTGACGAGTCGTAAACGAAGAGAAATTTTTCATTTTCCGACTAGGTTTAACGCTACGTGTACTATCCGAATTACAAACTAGGTGAAAGTCCGTCGGCGCGCGTTATTGCTCTTATTATTATTTTTATTAATAATATTTCATTGCATCGTACTATTGAATTGTGGAAAAATGTTTTAACGACAAAAATGGTAACAGAAAAAATTCCGGTAAAATCGGTCAACAAGGGCGGGCCTAAGCGTTTCCATACTTATAGCGCTTCGCAGTGCGACGTTTACCGGTTGACCCGCTGTATGTTCCCCACCACCGCTACCGCATCAAAATAAAATACAAAATTAAGCAGAAAACTATTTAGCGAATATTATTCGTGTATTCGGCGTTAACCCGTCAATTTATTACAACAGAAAAGAGATGATAATTGAAAAACGTTCATTAATGCTTATTGTAAATTAAAATATAAAAACCGTTACGAAATTTGATATTAATGCAGTGAAAAACACGAACCGCATGTATAGAAAAAATTTAATTTGTTTCGAAAAATACGAATAATACAAATTTTAATTTTTAGTCAACGCTTTACTTAGATTGAATTTTTTTTCGTTTATGTGAATACGGTTTTGGTACAACTGTCAACCTTGAACCTGTATTTGTATCATTACAGTTCATGTCCATAGTCCATAATATATTATAGAGATCATCAGTGGCAATTACAGAACTACAATTTTATAAATCCATTTATAAGTAAAGCTTTTTATAAAACAGTTATCGAAAATACTACAGTAATGCGCAAATCGTTAGTCGTGCACAATACATTAGTTGTTAACATTTTATACTTGCCAGCGATTATATCTAGGAATATTTGTCATTATATAGCAATGTAAACACAGTCGCTGATAATTGTTTTTAATTATCTACGAAACTGAATTTGAACTAACCTATTTTTCATATAATAACGTTTCGTTCGAAAATAACGTTGATTTCAATGAGAGCATTGACAAAATTACTAAGTGAATTCGACTGAATCAATCAATATACAGAAGTAACTATATAACAATAGTTATTATTAAGCGTTTGAAAAACAGAATGATACCAAATAATGTACGGCCAACATCAGATTAAAATAATTGTACACAAAAAAATTTCAACAGTAACTTTATTTATTTTACTAAAAAAAGCTATAGCAACCAACAACACATTAAAAAAAAATGGATTTGAACGTCGAATCTCTTAACTAAATAGTATTTCCACATGCATATTGATTATATGCATATTCAAGTCTGGCAGTTTGCCTCGATTTTTAAAACGTACAATACAGGCAAAACTTTTGAGAAGCATATTATGTATTAACTGGAGAAAATTCCAAGATATACATGTGAGAAAATAATTACATGTTGACGTCACTAACATTTTCGGCTGATTTACTAATAAGCTTTAATGTATGTAACATTTTGAACTCGATATTTCTACAATCCAATGACGTTAAAAATGAGATATACGCAGCTAATATATAGAACATTGTGTTTCAACAAACCACCAATAAAGGATAAATTAAAACGCATTATGGCTAATCGTGTGAAAAAAAATATTAAAATAATTTATTGTTGGTTGGTGGCCGCTGTGCTATAGAGAACCTGAATATTATTGATTAAGGCAGATGATAACGGGGGGAAATGTACTCATTATAAAATGAGGGCTGTTACTATATGCTCTCTTACAAAAAAAAACCCGCATATAACAACAATAACGTACATTACATGTCCCAGTCGACAACTGGTTTTTTGGCTCAAAAACCACTAACCACCGACGACAAAAAAAAAGTATATACAAGCTAATGTACTTACATGAGACACATATACACACGGCAAGCAAGGAATAACAACCAATGGGAAACGCGCTAAGTTGAACGACCTTCACCCTCGCCTTTTCGAAAACGGTCTGCCAATTGCCCATTCGGGATGTAGCGCATACCCAACCCACCGCCGCGCCGAGGTTTCAGTGTGCTCTAACAACTACACACTGCAAAGGGTATTGTTCATTGTGTTAAAAAACGGCTTTTTCAACTTACATATCACGTAGTCGCCCCGAAAACACTATTTGAGGTCCTCGCTAGCGCTCGGTGATAAAATATACGTTAAAAGATCATCGGGCCAATAAAAAAAATGACTTTGTAAAAGCTCAGAAGATGCAAACAGTGAGGTAGAGAAGTAACTGAAATTGCAGAGGTCCGCATATGCCTAAAATTTAAGGGGTGATTACAATTTGGACAAAACACGTATTCGATGAAGAATTAATTAAAAAATATGACAATGGTGTTGATCTAATATTTTAGGCGGGAAGGAGTGCAATAACTGGTTGGGTACGCCGTAGGTCTAAGTTAGCACTTATAAATTTGTTTCATACATTTTCTAAGTAGAAATAAAATTGATTTTGGAAAGGGATGTGGCTCTATCGTTTCGGTTTGTAAACTTACTAAACTAAACAAGTTGAGTAATGAATTCGAAATCGCAAAATAAAAGGCAAAAAACAGAATACCATATTTTGAAAAAATATATTAATCTAAATTATTAAAAATCGATTGAGCTATAAAAATAACGGTTAAGAAATTTGAACTTGTGGATGTGTGGCCAAATTTCGATCAGAACAAGCGGTTTTCTTGTCGAATAAAATCACTAGTCTGGTCGCGCTTTCTAAAGAGGTGTGCGGATTGTTTTTTGGCGAACTACTACTGCTATTGTGAGTGATACTTTAGTCTTTGTTCGACCGAGTTCAATGGAGAGTTTGAAAACAGGTGTAGGTTGTCCTAGACGTTATTATTAGAATTTTAACATAACGAAAATGTTAGAAAAACGCATTCGACGCTGCCGAGATCGTAAGTATGACGGTCATTCATTATGCACTAATAATTTTAAATTCGAATATATACGACTCGATTGTCGGTTATTTTCTCTACTGCGACGCGTGTACCTCAAAAATAATATGTGAAACAATATAAACTACTGGCATCTCGTGTGCACGAGTGCGTCGCAACTACCGAAACAAAAGGTCCTACTACCCTAGTACTGTAAACGCGGCAAAGCAATACAAACAAAATACCTCACAGTCTCCCTGACACTATGGTCAATGGTAGGTTGTGAACCTAAAATTCCGTCCGAATATAGCTGCAAAAATAATATTAATGATATTGTGCGTGTACACATAAAAAGCATGCGTGTGAGAGACCGCCGTTACGACAGCCGCCCAGTCTAGGGCGAATAAACCAGCCACATAATATTATGTATACACTACACTAAAAGACCTCTACGAGAAACAAAGAAGAGACAGGAAATACTGGTTTATAATGGCGAGGTAACATTGTTATACACCCGGTGACTAATGCGTATTAGCTTGATAGGAATGCACGACGGTCTTCCTATATAATACACACCGTTCAGTACGAGCAGGCCGCTACCGCCACCACCACCACCACCGGCTGCAATAATAATGAATTATAAAAATGGCATCGAAAAATGCATCAGCAGTGAGCGTGCGTCCCTCTACCGAAAAAGGGATGTCCCGAAACGATGGTCGGCTTTTTTGCCTGGTTGATCCATAAATGGAGTGGTTCGGCGAGTGATCTATATTTTGCATTGTGTATACGAAAAGGATACATTTCTTGAAAGAAATCCAAATGAGGCGGTTGCAGAATGTCAAGGGCAGACAAGACCTATATGAGGGAAAGAAACAACTTTATTAGTTTTTTCCTGTTTCGTTTTCTTTCTTTGCGTTTCAGTTAAAACTGCTAGTAGAGTAGCCTTTTAGGTTATTCGTTCACTTACATTTTCATGTTTGAAATTGCACAACATTTTCAGTTCTCTGAACACTCTTTTCGAAGAGACTAGTGATTGGAAAACGTTGGGCAGTTTTTTTAACGCTACTCGTCGTCCGTCTCGGGGATCCGTTACGGCCCTGCAAACATCAAATAAAATACATATTTTAATTGGTTATACAGACAAATAATTATTTCCACGCCACCCAGCCGTCTTTAAAATACAATTGTTTTTAATAATAATTAATTAGACTAGATGATATCAATATGACCTTGCTAAAGGTTGATCGATGATTCTATAATTACAATGTATCAATATTTTGAATAAGACATAATAGGTTTGGCAAAGATACAAAAATCTGAAGAAATCGCCAGGAGCTCATAGTGTGCTTAGTCGTTTCAGTGCATACAAAACGATTTGGCGGACATCGGTTTCGTGTTGTTGCTTACCCTATGGTCAAGGACATATTTTATCCCATTGTTTTCTAGTTTAATACATAAAAAAGTAAAAGTAATACAGTCGGTCATAATTTGAAATACGACTGTATCTGGAGCATGTGATCTGAATTCGATTTGTTTTTAAATGTATGGTTAAGGGCTTACAATCGAAGGATCCGCAGCCGCTTTCAAAACGTGACTAAATCGAAATGATTGTAATGCGTGCCAATTGAAATTGGGGTGGAAATGTCAGACCGGTTTTGGGAGATACATTTGGATGCTATCCACGTTATACATTAATTTGTATGTTAACACAGGTAGGTAAAACACCGTAACAGCCCGCAGGTTGTTCAAAAGGTTGACGAAGGCTACAGACTAAGAGCGGCACTATCTTGTCCACCCACGCACTACTCAAACATGACAACGAGTGTTTCTAGATAGTTTTCCGTTATCAGTTTAGTTGTCGTACCTAAACGTTATCAGTTATAACACCAAGTAATAAAAATTGACGGAGTTTGAAATTCCTTTTTTCTCTGAGGAGGAGATTTTATAGGTTTCTGAAAATTGTTTATCATAGTTATTGTACGAGGAGGCTTCTAGTGCCAACGCCATTAAATAAATCTTGACCGATGCTGATGAGAAAAGAAAGCGTATAGATACTATGTAGACTGTAGAGGTTTCATTGTTATGCTTTCGATTCATATTAAAATGCCAAGTGGAACAAAGACTACACAACGTTACGTCCCGTTTGAAGATGACGACAAGCGCTGCGTTTTCCGGTCGAATACCGTTCTGTTGGCCTATCCTATAGACCGCCGGAGTTATTATTCGTTATGTCTCTTCGTGATTTCTATGTAATAAGCATTAGGCACAAAAATTAATAACTTCAAAAGGGTTATTTTTTTATCCCTTCGCCACAGTAATAATCTCGGTCTTTATGTCATCATTAAAATGAATGCGTTGTTATTGTTATATTGACATTTGTCTTTTATTTATCCTTTTTTTTTTTAAGTTTCGGTCAGTAGTTACATCGTTTTAGTAGTAGTAGTTAGTTGCAAGCTCGAAGGTCAAATGTATAATAACTTCGATGTGCTCTCTCGCCATCAGGCATGCTATCGTGGCTTTCTAGACCACCGCACTATTTACACACATACTCTTTGAATTCAAAAATGACGTACTATCTTTTTCTTGGTGCGCACTTAACGCACATACCATGTAATGACTACAGTAATATTTCAATTTCACTGCACTGAAACGACGAAATAACGGTTTTGAAGTTTTTAGACAGTTTTTTTTAAACGGTTTTCGCACAATGTTGTACCCGGTGTGTCGTGGTGTGCACACAAGGTTATAGTTTTTGCGTAATCCCATTTGACACCTGTGTTACTACTGGCTAGATCCGCAGGTGGTTCTCTTTTGTCGGCAAATTGTTCTGTTCTACAACACCGGTTAAATTTTATCGATGGCCAAACAGTATAAGTATAATAGATTGACGACAATATTGTATGGTTTTTAAAAACGTATACTGTTCGTCGAAGTAACTCGCGTGTTAGAAGATTAGTCAATTAAATAAATTGACAAACGGACGTCTCTAAAAGAATGAGCATTCTACATGAATCTCTTTAAATGTACATTAAATCAGTCGCACACTTAGTACTTTATAGAAAAATAAAAATACAGTTTCTTTCGCGGGAGGTTAGTGTGCTCTGTAACGTTATAGGCGCATGCGCACTTATTAAAACGAGATGATTCCCTTGTGTCCCATACGTTTTACTCTTTCAATTTTGTTTATTATTCTGTTCTTTCTTTCGTTTTTTACATCATAGTCATTATAAAACCCAACGAACAATGACCCTTCCTTCCACACTATAGCCGTGTAGTACACCAAGGCAATAGTTGGAACAGTTGGTCTCTAAACGGTGCGTATGCGTGCACCAGATTTACAGTGGTAAACCGTAAATATCGATTCATTTAAACCGACCGTAATACTCATCCGCCCACTACAAATACTCAGTTGTAGGCACTGGGTCGGATCGCTAAATTAAAATTGTTTAAGTTAATTGATGACATTATAATGTCTACGAGTTATATAATTTCATTTAAATTCAACAATAACCATAGTATTAGACCTTTTAATAATTAATTAACGATTTTTTATATAATAATTTATAGATGTCTAGCTATTATATTTGTTTGTACAATACCTTTAAAGTATATTTATAAAAGGTTTGATACATTTAACAGCGGTAAACACGATGTTTGCATATGATGGAATTGTTGACGTTGATAGATATATAAGCTTCGATTGACTCATTTAAAAAAAAAATAGGCGTGTTCACTTGTTTTAATAAATGTAGAATTACATCAACATTGTGCATTTAACTGTATTCCAAGGGTATTGTAATATAGTTTTATACTTTTTGTAATTTAGACGTTTTTAGGTATGATTTAGACGTGTTGAATTTGACCGGAGGACTATGCCAAAGGAATATTCAAGAATATCGTTATTATGTGTATAAATAACATTTTCTTATGTAATTAATTTACAATAAATTAATTTTTATACGCAGCCAGTATGATGTCAATGCTAGTATTTACAATATTCGTTCATTTGCAATTTTAGAAAGCGGCAAAACAAAACGAAAAATTATATTGCAATGCCAATCAATATATTATACCAGCTCTGTTGTCAGTAAAATAGTATTTAATGAGTGTACTGATAGAAAACCAGATAAATCAACATAATTAATCAAAGAACCAATATTTTTTGCTATTCTTGTTATTATAATGTATAATATTGTAAAGTACTTTAATCAAATAATTTTAAATTAAAACATCAAATAGAGCATTGAGGTTAATCTCAACGAGACTTGATTAGATTAGTTTCAGTGTCTTCATTAAATTAACGCGAATCAATTTTTATAAAAGTTTTGGAAGTTACATACATCGTTAGAATTTTTCAAATATTAATTAAAAACATAACTTGTTCAATACATCTATAAAAATATCTGTATACCTAGATGCAGTCGAAGCATAACGTATACAGAACCCCAGTTCCTATGTGTTTTGGTTCGTTGGTTAGACCGATATAAAAACTAGAGCAACCTTAGAAGTTGCGACAGAGACCTTACCGTGGTGGGTTACTTGTTGTTAACCCACTTACAAGCTATATAAAAAGTTCTGCAGTATATAAGGGCACTACTTGTTAGCAATTACAATATTGCCATCGTTGCACTACTCTTCTATGACTAAGAACAAAGGAGACATAAAACATAAGATCTCTAGCAAAAGCTTAAAGGACAACTAAAATATAAATAATAAAAACGTTGTACCATTATTATTACTTAGCGGTCGCATAACAATAACGTGGCTGCAATTACGTAACAATAAAACACCTGCGAATAAACTAGTCTAGGCTAGAGCATTAGTAAATAACTTTATTCTACAGGCACCTGAACGAAATCAACCGTTATAATAAAATCGAAAGATTTATTGAAAAGAACGAGCACATTTTATTATTTGTGCACAAAGAACCCAGTAATGGAATTCGGGAGAAGAACGGCCACGGACTATGGAACTTTTTCCAGACACAGCAGCTGAGGAGTCGAGGTACCTAAAAAAGGTCCAGACGTCCCCAATAACTGGTCGGTGTATTTCTTTACTAGCATACAGATGTTAGAGATCAACTGTAAGCATAGCTATAGACATTGACACCTGCTACCACAGGACAGACATCCCTTACAATCTCTCGTTCTTGAGGTACACAGTCGGTCTGTATAGCATAGACCCAAACACCCACGAAAAAAAATACCAAAAACAGGTTTGATCCCTCTTTAGACATAACATAATATGCTCACATCTGGTTTCCCTGTTCGCCTTGGTTTAACAATTTAGACCCGACACCGTGTGGTTCCGTGCACATTTCGTCGTTTATGTATCTTTGTTGTACCAAACAGATAAAGGCACCAAAGAAAACAATTTCAACGACATCACTAGAAATCGGACGCGGCGCACGGATAGCTCTAAATATTTTAGTTCCTCGCATTTTATACTATGAAATAATAATATAATTGTTATCATTTTTTAACACCGTCAATTAAAATAGTAGGTCATATTAATCATGACTACATAGTATACGGCGGTGGTATAAGTTAATGGTAAACCTACTTAATAACATTATCAATGTTGTCTTGTAGGACTTCTACGAACGCGCCACCGGACTGTGCTTTCAGACTTCCTTTACGCTATTCACTATATAAACACCACGTTTTTTATGCTTTATCGTCCTAAACAGAATATTAATGTTTGTAACACAGAACACGCGACCTACTAAACAAATTAAAATTACGCTTTAATAACAAATTCAGGTGATTTGTTATTTTTAAAAATAATTACAAAACCAAATCACAGTAGCGACTCCAGTTGTGTTTTGTTGCATTCGATTACAAAGGAAAACTAACGTCGAAAATAGAAATATTTGTTTTGTTGAATTATAACTCACCCAATACACAATATAATGTATGTAGAATGAACATCTATGAAAAATGCTAAAAAGGAAATTATGTACAACTTTAATTGGACACATTATAAAGGAACGACTTATGAATAATGATAATGACGGCTTAGACATTTTTTACACGTCGATTAAGAAGAATCGAAAATGATAAATCACAGACAATTCCTCGGAATAATTTATGAAGTAAAACGAATCAGTTCTAGAGTAGAAATTATACATTGTATTAAATCAATTGTTTAGCCGATTTTTAAGTACATTACTAGTGCTTACACCGAATTCTTATAACCTTCAAAACGCACAATGCTGTTTTATAAATCATACGTGACTTAGACATAATTGTTTTACAAATTTTGTTCAGACAACAAGTGCAAGCGCCATAATACATGCGTATTAAATATAAATATTTTAACTTTATACAGTAAAGCAGTTTAGTTGTTCTTAACTCATTTGTAGGTCATCGCAATAAATAAAAAAATAACTTTATATGTTTTGTTATCATTGACCCTATAAACGGTTTAAACATATTTGTTACGAAATTAAGATACAATATAAGTAAATTAGTTTTAAATGACAAGTAAGAAAAATGATAGAAGATTAATATGATATAATATATAATCAAAGACAAGGTTTAAAACAATATTTGGCTAGAAGACAATGCTTTGAAACTTCAATAAATGAAAAAACATAAACTAAATACAGTTTACAAAATGCAAAAGTGGCCACGTAGAAATAAAACTAATGGGAAGTTATTTAAATTATAATTTTTCTATTATGTACTTAGTAATGGTATATAATAATTATTTATTGTGCAATTAAACAGGGAAAGCTAAATAATATTGTTTATTAGTTATTATTTATATTATCAAACTTAAGAATTAATGATAAATTATTTAACACTTATGTCAGGTTTCACAAACCTTTATTAAAAGTTTTAAGGAATTATTACACTTATTAATAATAACACTTCTTGTAGTTCCTAAAATAGTATTTAGTGTTTTATGATTGGTATAATAAATTTGTAAAAAAAATGGTATATTAATATTTTTGTACAACCCACCATAAGAATATAAAGTATATAAGAAGATAAATTGCTCCAGTAATAATAATGAATTATTACTTATTAATATAAACACAAATACAATACATAATTTGAACGTGCCTCAGTTCTGATTTTATAATTAAGTTTTTTAGTTTTGATGCGGAGCTTATAGGGCTATTGGATTTACTATAATGTGAGTTTTTCTTTAGTCTACCAACTAAACATTTTTTTTTTTAAATTTATTTAGAACATTTTGGTTGACATCAAGGTTTTAGATAATTTGGATAGGTTTGGTTGATAATTTTGATAATAGTTGCTGTTGGTATCCAAGAAGCATAGATATCTTAATACGTGGACTGTGGTGTATCCAATCAATAGAGATATAACTCAATATTAGGTGATTTACATTATTTAAAAAAAAATGCAAAGTAGTTATTTGCTTCTTGATTTAAAATAAAATTAGGTACATGTTAAAGCTTCAATATGAATCTGAGAATATGTTTTAAAATGGTGTGTTAATGTATATTTATTTTTAAATTTTTGTACCTGGATCCACAATAACTTTTTACCGTTGGATTGATTTCTAAATGTAGCAAATAATAGATCAGAATTCGTACACAAATTACTCCTTTTTAATTTAAACATTATGTTACAGATCTGAAGTAAAAAAAATCAAAACAAAATATTGTCAACCCTTTCCTATTGGGATCTGAAAATTGTACCTAGTTTGTAGGAATCTTCAAGGAAAATCTTAATCATCTAACAACACAATTGTATAAATGTAATTATACATACAAAGTAAGGGTAATTATAAATACATTTATTAATTATGTAGTGGTTTCTATGTATATTTAAAAAAAATTGTATGACCTATAGATTTATATTAAAATTTATTTTTTAAAAGTATTTTTATCATTTTCAGTTATAATAATTACAAAATACTTCCTTAACCCTTCTGTGTTAGCCTTTTAAGGAATTCCTTATTTTATCATAATAAATTAAGAATTAACACCTGGTCACCTAGTAACACCGAGTCTAACGTCATTTAAGAATAAATAAATGTTAGTGAAACTGTTACAGACAATTTAAGAAAAGCATTAAGACATAGTTAATGGAGTATAAATATGCTAATTAACTGTATCTATGCTGTCCATAAGTTGATTATCAAAGCACCAAAAGCAAAATATACCTGTTGAGTTTTTAAAGATCATATATTAAAAGTAGTTTTTTTTTATAAAACTAATTGTATTAATTATGAAATTTATATTTTGGAACTATAATTTTGTAAATTAGTAATATAATTCGATAATTCATTTTGGTCAGAAATTAAAAAAAATTAATAAATACCTAATAGTTTAAATGAAAAAATATGACATGGTTGATATTTATTTGTACTTGTCTGTTTATAAGCTTTGTATCCAAGAAGTAACACTACATACTACAACTAATGCGCATATTATATAAAATATATTATAATATACCATTCATACAACTAAATAAAAAAGTGTCTATACATTTTATTTTAACTATTAAATAAAAAATTTAGGTTTAGATAAATTAGCTTAAAGAATTTTTTTATCACACATAAATTTAACAATTAGTTGGATATTCTTTTACTAATATATGATTATGAAGATAATTTGGAGGTTATCTAACCTAAAGTTTTGGAAGACTTCAATTGACATAAAATGTTGATCGTTAGGTCATATTTGTATGTTCAGGAATAGTTGAAAATTACAGGACATATAATACATGAGTAGAGCCATTGTGTTATTGAACATTTTTATTTGTAGACAGTATAAATAGAATTTAAGAGGAACGTATATCCCCTATTTATAAAGAGATAAGTATGGGCAATTTTTTGCAAAACCTTATTTAAAGCTTAAACTGTACTTAGTTAAATATTCTTTTCGTCTAAAAGAAACACACCTATAATGAATTCAAAAGGTGATAACATTTAAGAAACAATGACATAACCTTTTTTAATATGTTCATTCTACAGCTTTATACTTGATGCTAAAAAAGTCATTTTTTACTTAACAAAACAGTTAAAACTTTTTTTCTAAAAAATATGGATGTCATTGTCTCTAAAATGTTTGTTTTCTTTCTTTTTTATCATACCTAGGTATTTCTACTTCAAACCCATCATAGTCCAAATAAAACGCATTCTGCGTAGTCAGGTTTTACGCTAGGAAATTGGGAGTATAATATTCTTTCAAGTAGAATTTGGAAGTAAACAAAATAATAATTTTTTATATGTATTTAAGTGAAATATCTACATTTTTTTAAAAAAAGGTTGTCTACTCATTTGGTACTTAATATTCACACCTTACTGTGAGTTTACGATACATATAGCTCATATAACTTCATATCATTTGTAATTATTTGTTTAAAAAATTATGAAAATTGTAAGTATGAACTAGAATCTATTTGTTTTCTTTGTTAATGGAACAAACTCAACAAAATATAGTTTGTGTCAACAAAGTATAGTTTGTGTTACCAAAAAGTGTTTGTGAAAAACCATAGAAATTTGACGCAGCTGCCTCTTTGTGTACACTGGCATGTTATTGTGACATGGACTATATTATAATAACGTAAAAGTAAAATGTATTAAATAAATACAGTACTCAAAAGTCCAAACTCGTAGAAAAAATGTATTTCATTATGAATGGTAATAATTTTCATTGTACTTATAGGTCGTATCCTTACCAGACTACTCCAAATGCTCCATATCCAATTGGTCGGTCCGGTTTGTAATCAACCGAATGCGTAGTAGCTGATTGAGCTGTATGATGCGATGATTGTTGTTGAGCGTGAAAAAATTGTTGTGAAGTATTAGCTTGCTGGTGGTTGCCGACTGGCCCGTTTGTCGAGCCCTGCATCAGCGACATTGACACCCTCGAGTGTCGGCTTGGGCCGACCACAGCCATTACAAAACACTGCTCACGGTAAATCCAAAAATCCCAAACGGTCGGTTTTGGTCATTTACAAATTAAAAAAAGTGCACAATATATTGCTATTCAAGAATTTAATAAAAAAAAAAAATTGGCAGTTATATTAGTCTTCTTTTGTGATAAGAGAACTACGAACAAGTACAACCCAACAACCGAATCAGATACCTACTCCTCGACCGACACTGGACGACTGAATGGGAATGGGTATTGGGTATCAAACAAATAGCGCATAGAAAACCAGGCGAAGAGAACAACAGCGCCAGCAGGCAGCAGGTCAATGGATGAGATAAAAGGAAACAGTGTACCCACATTCTATATTACGATTACCATACATTCGTTGTTCAATACACAACTGTACAGTAATCATTGTGCAATATGCGAATACCTACGGTATTCGAAAAATGACACATAATATTATACACCTTTATATTATAATTTATTATACATAAATAGTATAATATTTATAGAGTACATCCTAGATTTAAAAATACAAAACGTACTTTGGGGAATAAATAGAGAAATAGTTACAAATAAAGAAATGTGTAAAGGATTTGGCTGGCCCACACTAGATTAACATTAATATAATCATAAGCAATTCAATACATATAGGAATGAATTGAGCAGGATTTAAATAATGAGAACACCGCTTTATTAAAACAATTTTATTATAAGTTTACAACGAGTATAACAATCTACATATAATTATAAATATATAATCAAAAAGTAAAAATAACAAAGAAAATTTGATCTGTATTATAACTACTAGTCAAGAGCCTATATTAGAAAGTCTATATAAGATTCACTAGTAATATTTTTTTACAGGTAATTTTAAATTTAATATTCTGTTTGTAAATTGTACCAGTTTTCAAGAAAATAAAAAAAATAATAATGTATGTTAAAAATAACATTATTAAAATAAGGGCAAATTTATAGTGTATAGTATTGAATTTTGAAGTATTGCACTATCATTACTACCAAATTCTAAAAATAAATAACATATATATAAGTAGATAAAAAAAAAAAATTAAAAAAGATGTACATAAAACACAGACAATTATAATAATATGAAAAACAATATAACTTAGGTACTAAAAGTCCTGGGTTAGAATAATTTTAAAATATACTTAGGTAAAATATACTAATGAAAATATTAATTTATTTTAAAAATAGGTAACCTATGCCAAGAAAAATCATCTTTCAAAAATGTTAAAGTCACATTAATTTTTATTTAAAAAATACACTATTAAAACCATAATTAAAATTTTTTTTTTCAAACATTAAAATGTGTTTTAATTATAATAAATAGAGTTTCACTGGTAAACATGATCATGTTACCTTGTCCCGATATTAAAATATTTATTAGTGTACATATGTATATATTTATTTAATATTTAGAATGTTTTATTACTTATTAAATTAAATTTACATTTACCTACTACTCATTACTTTCCACTTAATAGAATGTAATAATAAATACAAAGATAATAAAATATACTTACATCACAAAATAATAATTCGTAATTTTATAATAATTATGGTAGACTTATAAATACAGTAAATACTAAATATCATCTTTCATTAACACATTTCATTTGCATACAACATTGTTGGATGCATTACTAAGAAATATGTTCAGTCTACTCAATTAGAGTAACGTCATTAAGAAAGTTCAAATCCAGTGTTAGATGAGATTGCGTATCTGAGTTTATCCCTAAGAATACTTTTTTTTTGATAATTTGGTAGCTTAAGTAAGTTAAAACAAGTAGAGGAAGAAGGCAAACGAAGTTGTGGATCCTTTTTACGGATAGTAAAAAATCCACGAATAACACTAGCTAAAAAAACAAAAAAATTATACAACTTTTTTGTCAATAATCAATGTTGCGTTTTAATTAACTTACCAATTGTGTCACCTGTATCTTCATCATCTCCCACTTCTACACATCTTATAGAAAAAGGTGGTTCTAAATGAGCAAATCCAAGTAGAGGTGGTTTTGAACAACTTGTCACAAACTAATAAAATAAAGTAATAGCTCTATAATGTTTTTGTTTGGTTTTACTAATAAATAATCAATAGCCCCATACTTTCAGGAAAAGAGCTCGTTCGTTTTCTGTAAAATCTTTTTGTAAGACTTCCCATAACCATAATATTACACGATGAGAGTCATGAAATCCTCCATAATACTGTGTATGTTTTCTTAGGTCATGCAGATTAATCGGCGCGTTGTCACCAGAAATTAATTTTTGAAGCTGTTATAAGTTATACGTTGAAATATAACATTAAAAAATCACCAACTTTGTTGTATTGTAACATACCTCTGGTGTAGAAAATAAGGCTAACCAATCTGGATTTATAATAGATCTAAAGCCTTTAATAAATGCTGACGTCTGTGCTTTAATTTGTGTATGCATAACATAATGTGCCATCAAGTGAACATAGTTAATTCTAAAAATAAAAAGAAGATATATCATAGATGCCTTGTCACCAGCCCTTTTTAATGTAGCATTAGAATCAGTTATGAAAAACACCTTGGCTGGAGCAACAGGAATCAAAATAAGAAATGACCAGCAATTGGTAGTAGCAGGATATGCAGTTGATGTTATAATAATGGCGGAGTGTGAAGAAGACCTAATGAGAACTACGAGCAAATTCATAGAGAGGATGAAAAAATTGGATTAATGATAAATGAGGGAAAAAACAAAGTACATGATAGTGAGACATAATCGTGAATTAAGACAGTTTGAAGTGCACAATTATAATTTTGAAAGGGTGGCAAACTTCAAATATTTAGGAGTAAACATCAATGAAAACGCTGATAGCCACGAAGAAATAAACTACGATTAGTAGCAGTAAATAAATGCTACTTTGGACTAATAACCCTATTTAAGTCAAAGATGCTATCATGGATAACGAAAATAACATTGTACAAAGTTCTGGTGAGATCGGAGCGCTGTATGCTTGTGAATGGGCAACAACAAAGATACATGGGATGAGCATGTATGGAGACCAAAAGGCCCCACTGGGTTGGCCACAAGAGGAGACCAGATAAAAAGGCCAAGAGGATGGGCCAGACAGCAATGGAGAGATAGGATCACCAAAGATACATTTCGGTTGGAAGTGAACAATGGAGAGGAACTGGCTCACGATAGGGATGAGAATAATCTGACGACATACAATGCATTTTACTCAAGCTTTGATGGTTTTAGTGCAAAAACACGTACAATAAAAATTGTATTATCAATATAAATTTGTGTTTTAGCTTTATTCGCAAAAAAATGCTTATTAAGTCCTCCATAATAAATAGGTGGTCTTCTAAAGCCCTCACCTGGAGATCAAAACGGTATTTTTTTGGGAAATTAAAAAAAAATTAGTTATAATTGCGAGGCAGTAGGTGAAAGCAAAAAGACCAACCATTAGTTTTTTTAACCTTGACTTAATATAGATAATTTTCATAGGAATATATATATCAGAGTAGTTTTAATATAAAATGAATACAATTTGAAATAAAAAAAAATGTTTTCTTCTTAGTTCTTTGCCTTATCCTCAAACAAATGGAGTATATTTAACCTCAAAACTATGACAGAATAGTTATCGATAAATCAATCGGTAAATCAATAAATAATGATTTCATTGGAATATTTTAATATTACTTGTTTTGGTTGGTAACTGAGATCATTCTTCCACCAGGTACTAGATCATGTGTAATTAACTGCCCAAGATGGTTGTTTACTACTGAAAATGTTAGATCTAATTCTGAAACGTCACTCTGATAATGTTTAACAGACGTCAAATTTCTATACAAATCATTGTCCAATGATGGTAACTCATCCATTGAACTATACAGTAGTTCCTGGCTTTGTCCAAGTAGTTGACTCAAAAAGAATGATGCAAAAGGAACATCAACTACAATACCCTATAAAGACAATAGTTTTTAAATATATTATTTATCAAATATCAAACAATTATTCCTAAGCGTAATTTTGAATTATTACTTCATATACAGCTTTTCCAAGAATTCGGCCAACAAATTCAAATAAGTTTAAATGATTTTCTTGAATGTTTGATGAAGGCGATGGATATAATCTTTGTTCTTCTGTTGTACGAAATAAGTTTAGAGAAGGATCAAATACTTTTTTGATTGTCTCTTCAAGAAATTCTACAATATTCCAATTTGATTAAAAAAAAAATTGACTGCTTTAAATTTTTATTATAAACCTTTAAAAACTCCGTCTTGATCAATTCCTGCTTCATCTAGTCCTTGTTCGTTAATGAATTTTACCCTTATTACACCTTTAAAACTTTTCTGAGACATTTCCGAAACATACAAATAACCATCTTCAATAATTCTATTCCTATAATTTTTGTTTAAAAAATATGGTTAAAATATAGTTTTTAAGGGATAATATTACGTTAATGTTGTGCTACCGTCGTATAGTAATAATTGTAGGATGAAGGGCATCATATTGGCTTACACCTAAAGCAGATTTGTCAGCAGCAACATATTTTCTAAAAAGTCTTACACGTAGTTCATGTGATATTATATGCGGCATTTCTTGGATTAGTATCTGAAATAAATTGTGTTTTAATAAATAACTTAACAATGCACAAGCAATAATATAAATACCGAGTGTGATTTACGGCCTTTGTTGAGTTCATTGAAAAATGTAGATGCTTTGAGATCATTTATTAACCAATGATTATTTGGAGTAAAAGATCTACGACAATCTCTTCTGTAGAGTACCATTAGTAGAGTATGGCAAGAACGAAATAAACTATTGGCTCCCATATCTTGAATACCTAAAACAAAGAACAATTACTTTATATAACTATTTCTATATTGTAATGACAGTCATACCAAATAGATTTTGAGATATTCCTTTGTAGAGAAAGAAGTTTAAGAAACTTGACATTAATATGTAATCACGTAATATGAATGGTTTTTGTTGTTCGTACATTTCTATATCGTCAAGAATGCTAAAATATTAAAAATATGGACACATTTTATCAACAATATACAATTTCACCATTTATGTTAACTAATTGATTTCAGTAGTTGTTCTTTATATATGATAGTGCAGTTGCATACTTTACTTGAGTTATTTTTTTAATTTTTATATCAACAATATTTTTTACTATTTAGTTATAACTGAAAATGTAAATCAAATAGAACAAAGTGCAATTATCACCCAATTTGTAATACACATTGACACTAAGCTACAAGCTACCACTGCTTGATTTAGATTTACTGATTAATAATACAATAATACCTTTTTACTAAATAATTCTTAGTTTTAAACAGAACTTACGTAATATAATGTGACATACAATCACAAAACAAATGTAGCATACGCAGTTCGCTCGAAATACAATTTTTATCATACTCCAAAATATTTAATAAATTCTTAAGACCACAATGGGAATCTAGAAAAGCTAGATACCTCCAAAGTAAATATAATGTATCTTCATGATAGCATAAACCTGAAATATTTGGTTACAAAAGCAAATTAAAAAAATATTTTGTGAAATATAAATCACAAGTACATAATATATCATAATACATCATGTACATTTTAAATACCTGTAATAATATCTAGTCTTAGCTGTGTTATTGTTTTAAGACAAGTAAAATATAAGTTGCAAGCAGCTACTACTCTACTTCCATGAATATCAGTTAGTTTTGAACTTGATTGATTTGTATTTGATGGCCTCAAATCCAACGCTTTCCTATACATTATAGATTTTATAATTCATGCATTGTAATTATTCTTAATTTTTTTAAATAAAGGCCGTACTTAATTAATGTTAATGGGTTGTTTGTTTTAGGTGGAGGTGATGGTACTTGCTGATGATCAGGAACAGACATTAAAGCTTTAACTAAATTAAAACGTAAGAGCTTTGTGCACAATTTACCACACCACAATAATATTAGTTGGTTTTTCAAAGGAGGGACATTAGGAGAACATGGGCATTTTGAATTTGCTGTAAACCATCCAAGTTCTGGATGCCAAACGCTTGATACGGTAGAGTGTTTTTTAGTAACATGTACTCTGATCGTTTCTAAAAATAATGTCAAACCAACCTTAAAAATAATAAAACATCAAATATTAGTTTTGGTTAATTAATAAATGTATTCCCAATGGGAAAAAGTTAACTAAAGAAGTATTTAAAATTTTATTTGAAAAAAGATTTAATACTTACACTATATAATGTAATTAAATACTTACCACAAACAAAGGAATACAATTATTTTCAAATTCATTAGTTTCAGCACTGAGTTCAGCCAGTTGGATAATATTAGCAATTAATGATAAACACCAACTTGGTTGTATTGATTGAAATATTTCATTACACTTAGACTGATCATTTACCAACTGCAAAATCTTTTCAAGTAGATTACCAGATTGAAATGTTACAATAAACTAAAAACAAACAAATTATATATCTAAATATTTTTTTAAAATTTTAATATAACACAGCCAATAAAAATTACAAAAAACTATGAGAATTATGGGAATAATATACACTTACTTTTGATGAGAAAGTTACTATATTCTCAATCAATAATGGTACTGAGTATATTTCAACTACAAATATTTGTAAAACATTAGTAGAAAAATTACTTAAAACTAAACACCGCCAACATATAGTAATAATTGCAGACATTGAAACTGGCTTTAAAAAAATCTTAATTCCAAGTAATCCGTTAATCAACAGTGTCTAAAAAAATATTAGCTTATTTTATTCAATTATTAAAAAAAAAATGTTAGAATCTGCGTTACCTGCATAATATTGAATACATTTTTACATAATAAGTGAGCCACTAAGTTTTCAGTTAATCGTTCTAATCCAGGTTTTAAGTTTTGCAAATTTTTATTTGAGTGTATAGCACACCACATTGATGTTGATGTAAAGGAAACTATCATATGCAGTAATGTGTATAACAATGATGATTCATCTAACGTCTTTGGTTGAAGATTGGATAAATATAGAAGACATATTGATAGAATTTCTTTTACATGATTTATCCAATTGACTGCATGATCTTTTGACAAAGCTACCGATACATAACTTAGTTTTAGAGATTCACTTTCAAGACTACGAATAATATATCTAAAAAAAAAATGTTTGTATTTGTTAAAATGGGCTGTCTTTATTTTAATCAACATTTCATTTCATGCTGACAATTTAAACCTATTATAGGCTAGGTTGACTTTTTATCACTGACGTCTATTTTTTAACAGACAGATAATTGTTTAAGAGGATGCCACCCCGTCCATTTCTAAGGAGTAATGAATGGAGAATTTTTCCAAAAACTATGTATACTTATTAATACAGTAATGAGGATACTTTGTTGATTGCCATTTTTTTTGTCAGTCTATCACAGTCATTTCTAAATTACAATTTTTTTCTCATCAAAACTACTTAGCGCAGATTAATTTTTCTCAGGCTTCATATATAGTTAAGGAAAGAAATTCATACAAATTATACATGACAAAATTATCTGTGCTCCAGCATTCAAATTTTTTTAATATACCTAATACAACCAACGCTATATCATTTTTAAAAAATTCCTTTCTTAATTAATTAATTATTCATTAACTGGTTGAAATATTTTAAAAAAGGGCCATGGAAGAGCACAAACAATATTGTTGTCTATATTATGTAAAAATTTGGTTTCTTAGTTTTGATTACAGTCTTTGTAAAATTAATCCACGCAAGGCAGGTTTTTTAAGAAAATAACGGATATGTGACGTCCTCTTAAAGTGATTCATGTACAAGTATAAAAAAAAACCTTTTGAGTTGACAATTTGAATAGTATTCATACAGTTTAAGTCCAATGATTTGTATTCAAATTTTAGACTTGTGATCCCAATCAAAATAAAATGTGTGTGATAAAAGTAATGAAAACTATTGCAAAATAACACAAGTTATATTTATGTTGTTTTCCATGAAATGTATAAGCAATTAATCAAGGTTTTTTTTTGATAATATGATTACTTTAATGAAACTAAGGTAGTTAATAATATTAAAAACTATAATAAAAGGAAACAAAAAGTGAAAACTGTCATAAATCTAATATTTAAATTGGGAAATCAGTTTTCTTGTCTACCTAATTGATATCAACAAATGTTTTATTGTTATATAGCATAACATCTACTAGGGGGCAAAAAGGTTGGGTTTATACCTTAAGGTTTTTAAATTTCAATTATAAAAATTTATATTTTTACTTTTTTAAATTGTAACGCAGAAGTAATTTTTAAAAAACTAAATAAAAAATTGGTCTAATGGATAAATAAAAAAAAAATTTTGATTGTGAAAAAAAGCGTAAAAGCTAGAAAATTAGAATAGAATATTAAGACAAAAGAGAAATATTAAACACCTTAATACAATTTTAATATTTTTAATGTATACTTGTATTTAAAAAAAATAATTTGGACAAACTAAAACATATAGAAATTAAGTTTGCAATGTTTTATTAATAAATTAACATACTTGCAAAATTTTTCAAATCTTTGTTTATCTCGTTTCTGATTCAATTGGCTTAAAAATTTTTTACCAATTAAATATACATTGATTGCTGGTTTTAATTCATCTATATTACTAAAAGCATCATCAAATTGTTGCCTAAAAAAATCATTATTATTAGCTGATTATATATTAAGTTACTTATATAGACTAACAATACGAGATTATGAGTTCTTCTTCGAACGAGCCATCCTCTGACTATTGACTGGACAATTATAACAGATTGTTCTCGTTTACGATCATTTGCTCGTTCTACTCTCGCAGCTCTTGTTTGTTCAATGAATTGTGTTTTTGAATGTTCTCCAAACATCATTTTGGTAAAAACTAAAAATATTTCAAAATAAATTATACATTAAATGTAGGAAGACATAATATTATTATAGACATTTGTTTAGCTACTTACATTAATTACAATAAAAGTTTATTACACCTTACATTTTGTACTATTTCACTATATAAAAAAATAAATGAGAAATAATCTGCAATTTTTGTGACACAAAATGTAGTTACTTGCTAGGTTTTTTAAGCTTATTTTATTATTATTTAATAATAAATTGAATTTTTAACACAGACAATAATCTATACCCTATGGGTGATCGAAAAAATGCAATTTTAATTTTTAAAAAAAATTTCTTATCAACTATCATATTTTGTCTTTTTGTTATTAATTATTATCCTATCGTCACTTGTGCAAAATGATAGGTAAGCCGGTCAAGTTGGCAATGTTTGTTAGGTTATGGTTTTTAAATGCTTCTTATCAAACCCAGAAAGGATAAATTATAAAAAAATATCGTTTCATAAGATCATTTTAATTTTAGAAATTTATTTAATTGTAAGTTATATACATATTTAATTATACATCTATCGGAATAACCTGCCATGGAAACCTATGATGTTATTGTCAATCAACCTGTTGTAATTGACAATGTAAGTAGTCGTCACCTTTCAAGTTAAATATGCTTCTTATTTAATAAATATGAGTATAAATACTTAAAATATTTCCTTATTTTTAATTATCTAGCATATATTAAAAAATTAACAAACTATAGTACTTTTTGTAGAGCTATTCGAATTTTGATAGTATCAAATTTTCTTAGGTAAATAAAATTTGCTAAAACAAAAAGTAGCTAGGTAGAACTTATTAATATGATAATATCAGTTGTATTTAATTTTGCTCTATTAAACAAAATAGTTCTTGTTTGTGGAAATCAACTGCATTTACTAATAATATATTTAATGAATTATCATTTTTAAACTTTGTTTATGTTGTTTAGTTTTAGTTTTTTGTATGTAATCATGATTATTTTTTACCTAGACAGCTAAGTGACATACTACTCCATTTACTCCATTGAAGATTGTTTTAGAGCAAAATCATGCCTTACGGGATGTTTCTGATACTTCATAAATGGCCAGTTTCCATCACTTTTTTTTTGTTTATTTGAAACAAGATTTTTTTAGTCTTCATTGATCTACGATTATAAACATTTTAGTTCTATATGATAATAAACATTTAAATATTATGTTCTAAAATATAAGTCTTCCTCTTTCAAGAAAAGAAAAAAAAATTAATGATATCGGAAAACTATATTAAGTATGAGAGTTTTTCGTGTAATTTAGTCATTTTTCACCATTAAAATGGTTATTATACATAGAAAAAATTATAAACACAAAAAGTAATAACCTGAAGCTTGTACAAATTAACCTATAAATAAGTTGAAATTGTGTAAACTGTGACCCACGGTGTCAGGTGAACTGAACCCGTTACCTCTATTACTAATTCAATTAAAATGTTTATTTATTTATTCGAATGCCATATCTATACACAGTAACATAATAATACAAAACAAAACATTTTATAAGTTGGCGAATAAAACATTAATGAATAAGAGTATTAAGTTAATTGTTTGGATCGCAATCTTAATTTAATCTTTAGTTTTATATCTAAATTTTTCAATCACTCAGTAGTTTCTACTGAAACTTCATTGACACCCTTTGTGCCCATGGGGAACTTTTGACTAGGGTACTCATCTATGTGCTGTATGGTTTGTATTAGAGCTGAGACCTCGAATCAAATTTTTCTTTATTTGAATAATTGAATAATACTATTCGTATGAAAATAATTTGAATATTCGAATAGTAATCGAATAATTCGAATAGCAATCAAGTAATTCAAATATTCGAATTTTCGAATATTTTGTCAAATTTATGTTTTTTGTAATTATATATCTTTATAAATTGTTAAAATCTTATTTGTTGTAATAAGTAATAATATTTATTTTGTCAAAAGAATAATTCGTTATAATTATATTTATTTTGTTAAAAAATTATTAAAAATTGATCAAAGACACCTTAGTTGTCTCTTAATTATTTTTTTTTTAATCTAATTAATCCTGCAAAAAAATGATAAAATATTCGAATATTCGAAAAATCAGATCGAATATTCGAATAACCCATCGAATAACGAATATTCGTGCGAATAAAGTATTCGAATATTCGAATAGTCCCCCACTAGTTTGTATGTAATCACTACAACCATATTTTGGGTCTTCTTTCATGTTCCACTTGGACAGTATGTACTCACATCTACATATCACTCTTCGATAGGATAATCCACTCTTGTCTAGGTAGTTTGAATACTTTGTTTTGCAAACTCTTTGTGTTAGGTCTGCTATTAGTTCTTGTTCATCATTGCTGCATCAGACCACGATTTTCTTCATTCCTCCATCTTACAGAAGTGTGATTGTATTAGTTTCCTAGTGTGTTCACAGTAGTGTAAAATTAGCAAACACCGGCAACCAGGGTAATGCTTTAGATTTTTAACCACTCCACTTATTATCCTCATTGCATTAAAAAATTTTTTTTTTAATTTTGGATTATTTACTAAAATTGTGATTTTAAAAATAAAATAATCAATCTTTTTTTGAGTTTGACTTTGGAAATAATAAAAAAATGTATATTTAATAATTAAAATTACTATGAAACCATATTAGTTGAGCTTAGATTTTATATATTATTATATCAAACGATAGAGTAACTCCTTGGGATTTGAACAAAACTGTCAGATTCAGAGAATATTGAATAGTTTTAGAGTTGTGCAAATGAATGAAAAATGTCTAAAATGTATATTAAATAGTGTTGAATGACTTGTTTTACTTTACAGAATGACCCTAAATTTTAATAAACTTATTTATTTACTATAAAGATTAATTTTTAGTGGTGGGCGCTGTGATACTTTGCTGTGAAATATGCTAGTGCGATCATTGCTGTTTTTAGAGAATGTTATTAATTAAAATTAAAATTAAATGAATTAAGCATTCATTTTGATAAATGAATGTTTTATTGCTCAATTTGATTTTAGATGCCATATATTGTTTACTTTTCTTTATAAATTCGTAATAAAATTATTATAAACAAAAGTAACCAGAAACTGTATGTTTTTAGTTAGAATTTATTTCAAAAAGAATACTAAGCCAATATTATATTGCCTTATTCTTTCATGTTTTTTTAAAAAACATATTTAATAAAAAAATTCTGTATAAAATTAAATTGTGTTTTAGGGATCTGGAGCTATTAAAGCTGGTTTTGCTGGTGAACAAACTCCAAAATGTTGTTTCCCTAATTAGTAAGTATTATTTTAATGGGTTTATACATTTTATCAAATTTAACTAAGTCGTTAATGTTTACTTGTAGTATCGGAAGACCAAAGCACGTGAGAGTAATGGCTGGAGCTTTAGAAGGAGATACGTTTATTGGTCCAAAAGCTGAAGAGCACCGAGGTCTTCTTTATATAAAGTATCCAATTGAGCATGGAATTGTAACTGATTGGAATGATATGGAACGAATATGGCAGTACATATATGGTAGTGATCAACTTCAAACATTTTCTGAAGAGCATCCTGTTCTGTTAACAGAAGCTCCTTTAAATCCACGTAGAAATCGTGAGAGAGCTGCAGAAATATTTTTTGAAACATTTAACGTACCAGCATTTTATGTTTCCATTCAAGCCGTTCTCAGTTTGTATGTTATTGTAGCACATTAATTCAATTCATTAACTTTTTAAACTCATAATTTATATTATATTTACATAGATATGCTACTGGAAGAACAACAGGAGTAGTTTTAGATTCCGGCGATGGAATTACGCATACAGTTCCAATTTATGAAGGTTTTGCCATGAAACATGGTATTATAAGATTAGATCTGGCTGGTCGTGATATATCACGATACCTCAAGTAAGTAATAGTTTGTAATCATAAGACCATGATTTTTAATTAACATTATTTGTTTAAAATTAGATTATTACTAAGGAAAGAAGGTCTTAATTTCTCTACGTCAGCTGAATTTGAAGTTGTTAGAGCAATTAAAGAAAAAGCTTGTTATGTAGCTTTAAGCCCAGTAAAAGAAGAAACTTCGGAAAGCAATATATATCAATACATGTTACCCGATGGAAACAAAGTCGATGTAATTGATCTATGATTATTTTTATTTAATAATATGAGTTACACAAAAGGGAGTTGTAACGGTCTTTGTGTTTTGGCATGCATTTTTATATATCAATTATCTAGTGTGCAGTAAAATTTTTGAAAATAGTACCTCTTGTCTATTTGAAATTCACTTTCTCACTATTTCTAAATTTCAACTTAACATTTATTGTTTTTTAATTGAAATTAGTAGAAAACCACAAAAATTTGTTTTAGAATTTCACTAATTCCAAATAATTGGGATTAGTCTATAATATGAAGTTTAATAATAATAGCTCATTTGAATGTGCTTTATATAAAAATGTTGCCTAGGCACAAATAATTAAAAATAAGCCGTAAGCAATTTCTACAATATGGTAAATACTATAATAATTACTTAAAAATCCAAATAGATTGGGCCTGCTCGTTTCCGTGCCCCTGAAGTGTTGTTTCATCCAGATCTTATCGGAGAAGAATGTGAAGGTCTCCATGAAGCTTTAGTTTATTCTATACAAAAGTCTGATTTAGATGTACGGAAAAAATTATACCAAAGTATTGTTCTTGCTGGAGGTTCAACTCTACTATCCGTAAGTATACATAAAGTTTTATTATTAGAATGCAATTAGCAAAATATTTATAATACATCAATACATATTTTACAATAGAAAAATATATGTAAAATTACTAAAATGTAAAATTATTGTCAATTTCTAGGCAACAAAATGGGAGTGACTACTTTTTTGTAAATATTAACTTTTTATCATATTGGAGTAAACTAAAAAATTGTCCATAGATTATTTTATCTTAAGTATTGATATAATTATTGTGAATGTTGTTTATAATTGAATAGGCTACAAAAAAAGTTAAGCCATAAGTTAGCTCAATGAAACATGTCTCAGATGAATTTTGAACGCATGAGAAAACTGCTTAATACGTAATTTTCTTTTGGTTCAAGTGATATTCAGCCTTGACAGGTTAAGCGTCTATATATCTTAAAAAATACATATATTTTTATATTGTCAATTTATTTATTAATGCATTTTTAATTAAGTATGAAACTATTTTGCTTTTAATATATATATATATTTTTAAGTAAATAGTACTTATATATATATATATATATATATATTTTTTTTAGGGATTTGGTGATAGACTGTTGTCAGAAATAAAGAAACTGGCACCTAAAAACATGAAATTAAAGGTAAAACAAATAGTTTACATTATAACCTAATAATTCCATATTATGGCATTATTTCAAAAAAATTTTTAATTATTTAATTTTTCAAAGTAAAAAGTGAATAATTAGGGATTGAAAGCGGGCAGTTTTTAAGAAGTTTTATATTGGCAATATTTAAGAAAAAAAGTGGTTTTAATAAATTTTGACTATGTTAATTAATTTTTTGGTTAACTCTTATTTTAAGTTTCAAGGTGTAATTTTTAATTTATATAATTTTTTCTATGAGTAAAAGCAATTTTGATTTATTTTAGACCTAAAAGCCTGACAAAATTAAGTTTACTTAGGGTGATCAGATTGCAATTTTGCCAAGAAGTATGAGTTCTTTGACTATTTTATTAGGTTATGTAGGAAACCGAATTTTTATTTAAAAAATGCAGTTTCTTATGTAAATTTAACTTGAAATTTGTTTAATATTTAAAAAAAAAATAGTTAGCGAATGTTTTGACTTCTTTCTCAAAATTATCTTTGTCAACAAGAAGCCCCTTTTTGCTTTTAGCATCACATAATTAATTGACATGTTACCATATTACAGCTGCTCAACGTTTTTGATTTAAACAAAACTTGTTAGAACCACATTCATTTTATATTTATCATAATTCCATATTACAAAAAAAACATTGATTTTATTGGATTGTTAAAGATTTTAGCACCTCAAGAACGCTTGTATACTACGTGGATCGGAGGATCAATTCTGGCCTCGTTGGGTACTTTTAGAAGGATGTGGGTGTCAAAACGAGAGTTCTTCGAAGAGGGTGCACGCGTGATACACAGAAAAACAATGTAACTCGGCAAATGCATTTCACAAGTATGATCATCTTTGGATGTTGGTCTGCATTTTTAATATACCATACACCTTATTATGTGTGTATGTTTTTACTTTAAATTTATGATTTAAATCATGATCGTTCCCCACAATATTCCAAGATCAGCGTTTTTGTTCATATAGCGTAAACCGACAGGTTAATATAGGTGTATGAGTTCTTTGTTTTGATAATATTATTATTAATTTTTTTGTTTCGCTTTTAATTTTATTAATAAGTTTATAATTTATATATTAAATAGTTATTAGGATTAACCTATTTAAATGTTAAAGTATTATAATATTAACTTTACATAAATGCTAAAAAAAAAAAAATATTTTTTACTACAGTTCGGTGATAAACGCACTCAACAAAATTTCTGCTTTGTGTTGTCAATTGGCAGCCTGTAAATATTATTAGTCGTATTCACTGATAATAAAATATATTTTTACTTTAACTGATCTTATTAAAAATAGAAGAATGGTTGAAAGTCAAATACCAACTTTTTGTTTTTAAACATAATATTATATATATAAACTTTGTGCAACATAATATGCTGATAATAAAACAATATTATTTTTATATTATGCCGTTTTAGTGTCTTTTGTTGTGTTATAACTTAAAAGTTACATTACAACTAACACATAGTTGTTGTAATCTGTTTCGAAGAACATCGTATTATACATGATTCTAGATGTATTTATTTAAAATCCTCAGTCTACGGCCATATATTACTTAGTCTTTTTTTATTTTTTTTTGGCAACTTAGGGCAAACTTAGCTGTTGGTTGATTTGTTTGTTTTTTTTTTGTTTGGTTGGTTTTGTGTATGTGGTGGAACATGGTATGGGTTGCCCTTAAAAATCACGGGTGGTCACCCATCCGGGATCAAGCAGCAACGGACATGACTTAATCTCGAGGGCCGCGTGACGATTGACCACTGCGTCACACCTACCTACCTAGGTCTTTGTTGTAAAAAGTTTTAGCTTTAGTGGTTACTGTTGTCACACAACATATATTTTTCTATTCGAACCGGTTTTTTTTATGGACTTGCATCCGAGTATTATGTTAACTATAATCGTAAGTTTTATTAAAAATCATTACCAATGATCACAAGTCATCACAAATGTACTTTATGATTTTTTTAGAATGGAACATGCTTTAGCTTTGGCCCCCCAGCCCGAAAACGATACTAAATAGCGACACTAAATTGCAATACTATAGTAGCGCGCCTACTTTAAACGTATAATAACATATTATGTACAATGCCATCGAAATAATAACGAGTCGTCGTCGTCATGAAAACGATTGGACAGAACATACAATTAAGACTATACTATCATCATAAATCGCAAGGAGATTATAGATCAGAAATAATCACTATTCAGGAGCCAGCAGGCCAAAGCTTTAAGCGTTAGGCTTTAAGTAGACTGTAACTTTTTTTTAAATTTAAATTTGGATCTTTTAAAATTGGTTTGAAATGTTGTGAACGTCAAACTATTTAGATTTAAGAAAATGATTAGTTTGCGAGAAATGGAAATATCAAATCATATAATGCATGTTGCATTCATTCAACCGTAATTAATAATGGTTTATTAATAATTGAATGATCATATTGTTAGTGAGTAAAAACGGAATAACGAGGACAATACACAGCTTTTTAATGATAAATACAAATTATATTCAATCGCAGTTTATGATAATCAATTATTGTACGTTACGTAAATAAAGTGCATATTATGTTTAAGTTTATATATAAAAAAATCAACCTCTAAGAAGCTCTAAAAATATTTGATGCCTTATTTAGGGTGAAATTAATATGTTTTAGTTAATAAATTAACTCTTTAATGTGCGAGGTTAGCATATTAACCACTTTCGTTTTAACCCTTTAGGGGTGGTGGTTTTAGTAGATAACCACATATATATTTTTTTTGGGGGGGGCTTTGGCTTGTGATGATTACATAAAATAGTCAACTAAACACACCATTTAGAGCTTACTTATTATTTTGATTTCTCACTTGTATAGTTGTATCATATATTTTTTTATCCTAACATTTTGTTGATTTTATCATTTTTAACTAGCTTCTCGTGGGTCTTTTTTTGTGACACATTTCATGTTCCTCAAAGATTTGAGACCTAAATAATGTATTTCAATACAATATAATAATTTTAAATTATACCTTATGAAGTTAATATAGGCTCGTAAACTTTTATTATTGAATAGATAAATAATAAACAACAATTAATGACTACCAAATAATATTATAATGACTATTCACGATTTTGTTATTTATTTATAAATTATTCAATAATTATTATTATTATTTTTTTTTTTTGTTATAATAAGGGCCTCGATTTCTTGGGCCATACAGTATACTCAATAACTATTATTCGTGAACTATTCGAGTTATTCAAAAAATCAGTTATCTAATTCATTTTCACTTTGCTTATTATAATATACTGATTGTTTTCTATTATAACTTCGTAATAGTAGTATTGTATGTATTTCCTTTGTTAGGCGACCAAACGATTTATGCAAATAACGAGTGATTCATTCATTCATTTGTGGTTTGGTTAATCGTTTCATCGTCACGGCGTGTGTGTGTGTATTAGTATTTTAAAACTGGTTTAAAATATTGTTAACTTTAAATTATTTGTAGGTAAGAAAATGAATAGGTTGTGAGAAATGGAAATATTATTTTCTTACATGATATAAAGTAAAATGCATTTCGCATTCAGCTAGCCGTAATTAATGATGTTTTATTAAATTTCTTGATGAATATGTTCACGAGTAAAAACTGAATAATGTGGAAAATACACGGTTTTTTAATAATGTTTAATTTAAATATCATAATTACATTAACGGGCACTCTATTAAAAATAATATTCTATCGCAGTTTATCATAATTATTCGTATATATTACTATATGTTTTAATATCAATATTAATTACATAGTATTATTTCTATTATTACTTCGTAATAGTAGGTATAAAAAAAAATAGTATTGTATGTTTTTTCGTCGTACCCATCAGGCGACGGAATGATTCATGCAAATAACGAATGATTCATTCATTCATTCATTCAGTTATTCGTTTTATCGTCACGATGTGTGTTGTATTTCCCCCTCCTTCTTATAGTGTATTACTATACCTAGCAAACCGGCGAAGACGAACACGATGTGTCTCGATGGATGACGTCACCCGTTCATTTCTTGGAATCCGGAAGGAAGTTAATAATACTATTAATTATTGTACGGCTTACAAGTTACAACTCGAGCACCACAACATATATATATATATATATATTCTAATGTCGAGTGTTCATCATTGACGCCTAGAGTCAATAATTGTCACTCTGACTGCGGCGTCTATCCTCTATCTCGCGATAATGAGTACTTCCGATCATCAGAAATGGAATTGTTTAAGAGTGTACATCCGATGTACACTCATTGCCAATAATTGTAAATCAGTAACAGCGATTCTGTTTCAACGACGTCATCGATACACGAGTGCTTAGAATTTCTGCTTTGAACACAAAAAGTTCACTCTTTAACAATATAATATATTTAACTCTCATAATTGTCCCTGTCACGAGTTATCTAATAAAGACAGAACCGTGAAACCTTTTTTAATATGTATAAACATGCGTCTCGACGATTCTCACAGTCGTGAGATCATTTTTCGATTATGAAAAACCCCAGACATATTTGCTTGCAGAAAAAACTTATCGTTCTGATCAAAAAATGAAAACCGAAATTCGCCATCTCTCGTGCAAGAGTTTCTGGTCTAAAAGGGTTTTTTGCTACCTAAAAATGTTCAGGTTATTTTTTTTAATTTAGTATATATTTAAGTAGTATTTATTTAAATGTACATTAGATAATTAATTTTATTCCTATTAACTAATTTTTATAAGGGAATCGATTTACATCGTGATTGACGGAAATACAAAAATTAAAGAATTATTTTAACCAAAAATAACTGTAAATTTGGGGTCTGGGAACTTGTTTTTTACTACCTTAACGTTGGAGGAAAAATAGATTCAAGGAAATTATTATTTCTATAAAATTCATCATTTTATTTACTAGTTTAAAATTAAAAAAAAAATACTTTACTAAAAATATGGGAGAGTTTTCTTAGCTTTATACAGGCTTTATATTTCTAACACACAATTGATAACATTGTAAGAGATACTCGCTAAAAAATTACTTATTGTTAGTGAGGTATTATATTTCAACAATAATAATATCGTATAGTACTTCAAAAGTGTAAAACATGAAAACTGATATAGGTTCAGTAAAAGTTAACTCACCTAATTTAGAGAAATGTACGAGTACTTAAAGAAATCGTGGGGGGGGGGGGTGAAGGAAAATATCCCGCCAATGCATATTTTTAAATGGTAGGCTATACAGTATAAAATATGTTCGAATTTGCGTTACATTAAGCTGTATGTTTGTTATTGCCGTATTTTAAGATTTATTTATACATCAAGGTGGTGCTTATGCACAACTGTGACCTCATGAATCTAGAAATCACAAATACAACACAAATAATGATAAATATTTTTTTTATTTCTTGAAAGTTTCAATTTGCTGCCAAAATGCAAAAAAAAAAAATGTTGAACAAGCAACTGAAAATAATGATATCAAAAAGAGAACTTTTTAAAAAGGAATTGTTTATATTATTATATTTGAATTGGTTTTTAATATCTAGCACAGGTGGCTATTCATATTTAAAAAAACGAATAGACACATAGTATCTATTATACTTATTATTGGTACAAATAGTATTTTTATAGTTTTTTTTAAATTATTTTTTTAAAATTTTATCGAGAGTAATTAATTTTTTGGTACATATTTTTGTTCTCAGTTGGTATTTAAACTATGAATATAATGTAAATTTTAGATTCCATTTTAATATTGAACAGTTTATTTTGTATTCATTGTTTAAAGTACTAATTAAGAATAAAAATATGTACCAAAGATTTAATTACAATAAAAAAATATTCAAACAAATAAATACAAATATACGGTGTGTCTATTAGTTTTTAAAAATGAAGACCAACTCAAATGTAATATAAACACACCATTATAAATATATTTTATGTTTTAATATCGATAATGTGATTTCTGTTTAATCCCCTTAATCCCTAAAATGTCATGGATCTTATAAGTAATATTTGCTGTCATCCAGGCAAAGAGAAGGCACTTTTTCTTCGGTAAAATTATTGTATTTTGGTAGTTGAAACATAGTGACATGTGAAACTTAGTAACACTAACTTATTTAAAAACTTTACTTAACATTAATAGTTGAAGATCCGATTTCTGTTTATTGACATTGTGATTGCGGCAAGGCAACAAAAACAATGACTGCATTTCCCAGTGTCCTAGTGCAAAAATATCTACAGCCACCAGAAAATCCTAAAGAATGAGTCACTGTCAAAATACGTCTACACAGTGCACGTCATTGACGAAGACTATCATAATAATATTATGATTTGTCTACACTAATACACATATATGTAAGACTGGAGAGTGGAGTACATATATATTACCATTGATTATAAATATTATAGATAGCCCACCGAGACAAA